TGGTGGAAACCAATCCTCCAGATGCAAGAACTTCAACAGGCCGCTCCGCACACCCAGGAGCCGGCGGGGAGGCAGCAGACCGCCATGGACTCTGACTCACTTTTAAGAGCGCCCTCTGGCCTCTAGCGCAGGATCGATGGCACAGAGAGTGCGGTGCCGGGAGGCCGGTCAGCACAGCTGGAGCCGCACAGAAGATGCGGCTGCCTGGACGGGCTCAGCGGCGGAGACAAAGCGAGGAGGTTGGACAGACGGTCATGCTTTGGAGACAAAACTGCCGGTTCTATGAACTTACAGGGCGACGAGGAAGGAGCTGAGGGCCAATTCTGGACTCAGCCTGAACGCGTGGTGGTGGTGGTGGTGGTGGTGGTGGTGTGCTGTGGGGGAAACTAAGGCGAAGCAGGTCAGCAGGCATCTGAGATGGCGTCCCGGGCGCAGGTCAGAACTGAGCGTTAGGGACTGGAGGCTCAGGGGCATGCAGACGGCATTTAAAGCCATAAGCGAGACCCTTAGCGGTCACACAGCAAAGGGGCTGAGGAGGAGCAGTGAGAGACTCAGAGCAAGTGGAAAGCACTGAGGTCAGACAGGGTAAGGACTCAGGGCGACCTCAGATTTAACAGGAAAGAGGGCCCCGCGGGGCGGCCTCGGCGCCTGGGGGGAGGGCCTCGCTGGAGTAAACGGAGAAAGATGAAGGTCGGGAAAGGAGGGAGTGGAGAAGGCAAGATTACGGTGTGACCCCGTACGCCAAGTGCCACCATGTACCTCACGGTCCTTGCATTAGTTTAATGTATCTACTCCAGCGGTTCTCAACCTGTGGGTCGCAACCCCTTTGGGGGTCGAACGACCCTTTTACAGGGGTCACCTAAGACCATCGGGAAACACATATATAACTACATATTGTTTTTGTGATTAATCACTATGCTTTCATTATGTTCAATTTGTAACAATGAAATTGGGGGTCACCACAACATGAGGAACTGTACTAAAGGGTCGCGGCATTAGGAAGGTTGAGAACCACTGATCTACTCGCTTCCACCAGGGACTCAAAGCCAGGCTCACAAAGAACCCGCCCGCCCGTCCGCCTAGAAGCGGTTTGGGAAACGGCTCATCGCAGCCACACCTGCTGGGAGGCAGGTCACCGCCTCTGCCCCCGGCTTCCCATTCAGCCCACAGACGCGAGGACAGAGGTCACCTGAGGCCAGGGAGCCCCCATGCCCACTTTCCGGCGGGAAATGAACGCTGATCCCTGTGAAGTGTCACAATAAACCGCAACGGGGCGGTTGGTTTAGACGCGTCTGTTTTCGCCATGGGTCTACGAATGGTTCCCTTTGAACTGTAATCCACGTAAGTCTTGTTATTTGAAAATTACAAGCCACACATGCTATTGATGCATATGTATCCTCATAACAGAATTAACCAAACAACAGAGTAATTTGATAACAGCATTGAACTAGCAGCAACTTAGTCATGAGCACGCAACAGTGGCCGCATTGGAAAAGCAGGACTGATTCACAACAAAGGCCGCGGGGGC